CGCTTTCTGGATGTCGAGCAGGACCCTCCGCCGTGCGTGTCCCCGGAGAAGTTCCCTTCCCCTCTTTCCAAGCCTCCCGCGCCCCCCCAGCCGCTATCGCTGCCCCCTCCCGCGCTCTCCTCCACGCCGCTGAGCAGGTGAGAGGCTGGTGCGTGGCTGGGTGAGGAGGGGAGGGTGGGTCGCCGCTCCTCTCGCCTCGCCCCTCCGCCCTGACGGGCGACGGCCCCCCCCTCGCCCCCCTCCCCGCCGGGCATTAATTAAGCTGCCCATTGATTAAAGGGTATTGATTTGTATGTATTTCACTCAGCGCCGTTGGCGGCGGCGGCGGCGGCGGCGGCGCCCGCTGCTTGGTCGGCGGCCTCCGCCTGAGTTAGCCCAGTATTTCCCAATTTAGAGTGTTTGTCGCCGAAGCTCCCTCGACCAAAGATGTCGGCTCCTCTCGGGCCCCGAGGCGGCCCTGCTCCCCCTCCGCCGCCGCCTCCGCCGCCTCCGCCCGAGACGCCCGACCTCAGCCACCTCACGGAGGAAGAGAGGAAGATCATCCAAGCCGTCATGGACCGCCAGAAGAAGGAAGAAGAGAAGGAGCAGTCCGTGCTGAAGTAAGCGCTACTTTCCTCTTCCCCTTCCCACCCCCACACCCCGCCGCCCCCTAATTCTGGCGCTGGGGGGAGGGCCCAGCCCCGGAGGGGAAAGCTGTCCCGGTGCCATCCCACGGACGGGGTCTGCTTTCGGGAGGGCTGCCAGCCTAGCGGCGGGCGTCGCGCGGGGAGGAAGGCCTGCTGGGATCGCCCGGGAGCGGCGCAGGAGGCTGCTCGGCGGTGTCGTCGCTCCCGGCTGTGGCTGCCGCTGGCCCCGTCCACCCTAGCCGGAGGTGGGACGGACGGCAGAGAGCCGAGAGTTCCCTCCTCCCGCCCCGCTTTTCAGGCTCCCATTCGCCGTCCGGGCGTGGAGTGGGGCCAGGCGCCCAACATGGCCGCACAGGTGCTGTTCCTCGCTCCCTGCGAAGCGGATGGTCTCGGCAGCAGGAAGTGGCCGTGGCGGCGGCGGCGGCGGCGGCATGGCGGGTCTAGGGGGGTCTCGCCCCAGCCGGGCTTAGGCAGCATCTGGCGGCTGCTCCTTTCGCCGCGGCCGCCCCAGACTTCTCGCCTGCCTCAGATAGCTCGCCACGGGCGTAACTGTACCTCCGAGGCCCAGGTTTTCCCGGCTGCCTGTGCTTGGGGTGGGCTTGGAGAAGCCGCCATCTTCCCCCAGTAATGTGTAGCCCTCCCACCCCTTTTCACCTGCTTCTCGCTGCCCGGGAGGCGCCCCTTGTTCTCTGCACCTGTGGGTCCCGTTAGTCGTGGGCTCATAGCCGCTCGGAGAGCTCAGCTCCAGGCTCTTTCAGCACCCAGGACAGCTCCAGGCAGGCGGATTAGGAGACCGGCTTTCTGTGCTTCTTCCTCGTTTAGCTTCTCGCTCCCTTCCTCTCTCTCGCAGCACAGTTCAGCACCGGACTATTTTAGAGGGGTGTGAAGGTTTAATTTCCCCCCCATCATATGTGTGTGTGTGTGTGTGTGTGTGTGTGTGTGTGTGTGTGTGTTGTAGATAATGAAATTTCCTGTCTGACTAAATCAGGGGTTCTCAACCTTGGCAACTTTTAAGACTTGTGGACTTCAACTCCCAGAATTCCTCAGCCAGCAAAGCTGGCTGAGGAATTCTGGGAGTTGAAGTCCACAAGTCTTAAAGTTGCCCAGGTTGAGAACCCCTGGACTAAATACTTTTGGGATAGACAATAAATGCACGGGGTTCATTCCTATACATTTTATCACATGAAGTGGTTTTTTTTGCCTGATAATATTTACTTTGTAAGCACAGTGGGCTGCCTTTGCCTATATTCTTCAAAGACAATGTTATCGAAGATGAAAAAGCCACATTTTTTTTTGTTTAACAGCACAGGACCTTTTGAAAATGTTATCATACTAAAGAAGATCAGAATAAACATTTTTAAATTTAAACATCCCTAAAAATATTGATTCAGATCGATCAGTTATGTTAGGCCTTTTTTTTTTGTGGAACAGCTGATTCAAAATTTGGAACTGATAGCTCTTTCTGGGCTTAGTTGATGACTTGTGTTAGAATTCGTGTATTGTTAACAATACTATCGTTGACAAAAAATTACTGTGTTTAGATTGTTTTTATCTTCAATCAAGAGAGTAAAAGACATTACTATATTGTTAAGTTTAAAAATACTAAAAATAAACTTGTTTGTCCATTAAAGAGAAGCCACTGCAACACACACACACACACACACACAAAACATACCCATACACATATATGTTAGTCCAACTCCAGCTAACAATTTACAGTAACTTCGAAAAGAACAATTTGTGTTCTGTATCAATGCTAAATGACTCCATAAAGATTAATAGTGTAGTTTTGTTTTTAAATTATGTGACATTCTAAATGATTAATAACAATTAACTTTTATAAAAATATTTCTAATTACTATTCTAATGACTGCTTAACTGTAGTCTTTAGGATTAAAATGTAATTTTGATTTCGAATATGTTGTTTGTACAGCAGCAAATACACTTATCTTTGGTTTTAAAAGTAAAATAATTTTATAATCAAATGATGTAGTTTCAAATTAATGCATAATTGTTAACCAATGTTTTGTGAAAGGAAGGTTCAAATATATATAAAAGTATTTAAGCAGAAATATATTTTATAATTCCATTGTTAATATATCAATTTTTGATAGAGCTTATTATAGTAAGGCTTATTCATTAACTGGACTCCACAAGTGTCACTCATTTTTTTGAACAGCTAACATATGCGACAGTCACATGACTAATATATGAAGATCTTCGAGAAAGCCAAACTGACCGATCAGAACTTTTAACATATTTTAAATAAAATATTAGAAGATTATTTAGAAGTACTTCATCTTTTAAAAATGAAGTAACTTACCAAATTTGGAAGATTGACAATCAGATTACTTTAGCAATGACTGATAAGAAAAAGAAGAGAAAAATCATGTGAGAAAGAGATATGAAGCTATTTGTTTCCAAGAGTTGGTCTCATCCCTGCTATAATACCAACCTACCCCATCAAAAAGGAGATGAAAATTTTCAACTGTGTCCTTTGAATGACATCAGCATGTCATTGGATGGCCTCATACAGTCCTTGAAAAGGTTGGAAGGTTGATTTGTGACTATAGACATCTCAAATATTGCCCATTGTAGCCCTCAAAAGAATAAGTTGTTCATACTTCCACCCAATATGCTGTTGTGTATCTTTTCTGTTAAGTCACAGAAATAGTTTCACATGATTTTCATTTATACTCCTTGTGAGGGTAATGGAAAATCCTGACATTGTTTGCACATATTTTCGCTATGAAACCAAACACTACACATGTTGCACATGTAATGCTGGTATATTAACACACATTATGATCTCAGTCAGACATAATAATTATTTGGACAACTTTCTAATCTGCTGGCAGTATGAGGTATCATTCTTAATGATATGGCTCTTTAAAAGATATTTCCTTTCTACCTCTTATTCTATTATTGCTTTTCAGTATTATTTAAAGATACATTTTCTGAATTCATTGCTAGAAGACTGGTATTTAAATTCTTCTAAATTGTTCTCTAACAATAATTGGCAAAAACACTGCATTTCACTGCTTAAAGAAGATTTAATATTGTTTTTTCTTTTTCCATCAATAATTGCAAAAATAATTTTCAAGTTTTGTTTTTTATAATAATAATAGTAAAGTTGGAAGGGACCTTGGAGGTCATCTAGTCCAACCCCCTGCTCAGGCAGGAAACCCTATACCATTTCGGACAAATGGCTGTCCAGTCTCTTCTTAAAAACCTCCAGCATTCACCGCTTACTTTTAAAATATGAAGTAACTTCCAGACAATGTTTCTGAATCTTATTAAAAATACTAGAAACAATGGTCCAAAAAAGTGTAGCCATATTCTCCAATGAAATTAAAATATCTTTCCACCAAATGTTAATGTACAGAAGTAAGGGAGATGACCTTGACAAAAAAATGCAACTGTCATTACCTAGGCAAAGGGAACTGAAACATTTTTTAAGCCCTGGGAAATAAAAATAATATTTGGAAGTGGCTCAAGTCAGCCACATCCCTGATTCATTGGGGCATAAGTAGAGCTGGGGATAGGGAAGTACAACACAATGAAACTTGCAAAATTTTGTTATTTATAGTCATGCTGAATAATTGTAGATCTAGGCTTCCTGTGGCATTGATTTCTTGGTCTGGTCTACCTAGTGAGGCTGACAATTTTCATATTCAAAAAAGCAGTTGACATTGAAAGCATTCTTAACAAAAGTTTGTGTTTTAAAGAATAAATTATACAATATTTTATATAAATGATGAATGGAAACCAGCTGGATAATTAAATCTGCTTTTTTCTGTATACTTTCTGTTTTATTCAGATTTTCTAATGAGTATCACTATGGTACTGAAGTATTTATCAAAAGAGCATTCAATAATGTCACCAGCATCTGTCACATCATTTCTCCTCTTTTTCCCCCTTCCCAGAGCAAAATTACGCATATATAATTTATATGCATATATATATACTGTATATATAAACCCACTGCAGTCACTGATTCTTCTGCTATGCTTCTTTTGAAGAAACAAAGAGAAATGGTGCAAAGTTAGAATCAGCAGGAGTTCATACTGATAAGGGCAATATTCACTCCTGCTGGGATTTGCTGAAAGTTGATGACATATAAAATGGCTGTTTTGCAGAGGTATCTGTTTTTCGCAAGTTGTGCTTTCTGAAGGCATTGGGCGAAGACATGAAGTGTTCTTATTGAGGGATTTTCATGGTTTGTACTGGAGAAATTTGCTGTTGAAATTAATTTCTCCTTTGAAGGTGTGCTATGTGTTAAATATCTGACAAGTGAATATTACTTATTTATTAAATTTGTTTGCTGCCTATCTCACCAGAAGTTTACTACTTTATTTTATGTACTTATATACTTATATTACAACTTAATCTTAAGTGACAGTTTCAATATTTGACTGTAGATTGATTGCCTTTAGTTCATTTGCCTCACTTTAATCTGCATACTACAATATTAGGCCTAAAATATAGATTTATCATGCGTAAATGAATGTCATTTTTTTCCTATAAGAAAGCTTATTCTCATATGGCATTAAACATGACCTGCTATATTATATTCATAATTTGAAGAATATAGAAGGTTCTATCATAACCAATAATATTTCTTACGTAGCATTCTGACTAATAGTTCTCAATATGATTACAGTCAGAAAGGTGAAGAACAACCTTGAGCCACCCCATAGGGTGTACAAGAAGTACTTTAGAACTCAAATGGCCAGTTCAGAGCCATATCAGTCTCCCAATCTTGATTATGCAAGCTCCATAACAACCTCAGATTAGAACACCAAACAGTAGCAAGAAAACGGTAGTTTGGGGCTTGATTCTCTTATTGTTTTAGGTGGAAATAAAGGTACTAACAGAGTGTTAAGTCTCTCTGAGGCAAATGTATCACTTTTCACCATTCAAATCCTACAAACTGAAAACAACCTGAAACTTTTTAGTGCTGCCCATCCAGT